TTTCTTTCTGGGAAAGTTGTGGCTGTACTTGTGTTACCTTGATGGATCTGCTGGAGAACTTGGTTGCTAAGGTACAGGGAAATTCGTTCTCAACGTTATTGCCAGGCGTGTTTCTTATCTAACTTTTGCCGTAATCTGTTTAAATCTATAAAGACTGTGAGCAATGCTCATCACAGATTACGCCTCAGTATTCGAGACGCTTCGCGTTTGTGGTAAATCATTTTCGTTAATGTTGTGTGCAGGACACGAACAGTTAAGATTATTCCAGAGCTTGTGCGATCACCAGTGACGAGACAGAAAAGTTCTATGCGTAATGTATAAAAGATGATGTGACCCAAAGATGACCAGATAATTGATGGCTGATGCTCTGTTCATCGTACAGTGTGTTTTGCTGTAATCTTTTCTTGGCCACAAGTTTGGGCCAACTGAAGAGTTCCGTCTTGCACACGCTGCCTTCATGACCACGTGACATTGTACTAATTGAAGTGTGCTGCACAGATCACGGAACAAAAGTTGCATGAAAACGGGATTGCCATATGGGATGCAAGAAACACAAACTATTAAAGGGACCAACAACTGCCCTGAAAATGAAATGAGATGACTTGATTGATGGAACGATTGTCCGTCGCATCGACTCAAACAAACCCTGCTTCTTTCATGAGAGGTAGATTCATATTTTTATTTCTTCAATGAAAGTCGCGAAAAATTATCTGTGCTACCTCTGGTGGAAAAAACATGAACAATATGATGTAGCTGACCATTGATTGCTGTACGTGGTCGTCGATTTTCTTGTTAGTACTAAAATATTGTAGGTTCCTTTATAATAAAATATATTACTCTATGAGAATGTTTAGGGGAGTCAAAAGTTCCCTGGCCACGCTCCCTTATGGGAATACATGAGATTGTGGCCTGGGAACCCCCCTGTACATATAGGGAAGACAGGCTCAAGTTTGTGCAACGCCATTTACCGCCCTAGCGGATAGAAGGCAAAGCTCCGGTCGCTCGAACGTGCCGTACTTGCTGGGTTTTCCCATTGTGCGCACTAAAAACGTGTTCTTTGGAGCGCTTATGTCACTTTTGCACGATATTGGCAGTGCTCTTTCGTCATTGTGGAAAGCAGGCACATACTACTGCTGCATCGTGAACTGCTAGAAAAGTTTCAACATGACGAAGACCCTGAAAACTGCCCGTCAAGATCTATCGTTTCCAATGCAAGCAGTGCGAGAAGCGAAGGAGTCAGGAGTTCGTCAATGCTCCGCGGTCTCGTTACTTTAAAAATTTTTTGTCAGGCACAATACTACAAACTATTAATTGATTGAAAGAAACGCGATGACCGGACTCATAATAAAAGAAAGCGTGTTTGTAAACTGAAAAAACAGCAAACAGACAACCGCTGTACATTTCGCAATTGGGCACTAGCTTTCTCAGACAATCCTATGTAGTGCGAAAGCGGTGGAGCTCGCTAACTTAGTATACTTAAAATACCGTACTGTGAGCCCTGCAAGTGTGTTTTTTTTTTTTCCAGCTGATGGCTGTAGACTTCTCGTCGCCGCTCAGTGTAAACAGATTTGTGCTGCGGGTTCGCGCTGAGCGTTTAAATGTACATGCCTTGCAAGCAACACCCACCAATGAGGTAGCTTGGTGAGGTGTTGTGATGCTAGAATCAAAGTCCTGATTTTGATTGCCACATGCGCCAGTTGCATTTCCACGGGAGCGAAACGCAGTGACAGTGCACTCAAATTTTGTTGCAAGAATGACAGACGGCGTGCTGGTGTTATCAGGGGTAAATGTCGGCGTAACTAAAAACGTGCTCGATCTTAGTAGGTATTGTGTGATATGACGACGACCAAGCGAACTGTCAAAACAACCTAATCAACAATCGGAATCAGTGAACATGCTGCGCGATAAGACGCAGATATTATCCGAAATGAAACATGCGCTGCAAGAAACACACATGGTTGAAGTGGGCATAAAATACTTTCTTTATGCTCATCATTATACTTTGAAAGCAGCTGCAAAAAATCAAAGGTGTCATTCAACTTACGATACTCCCTTGTTAACATCCCATGAAAACCTCGGCTAAAGTGAAACTCTTATGAAACGAAACACACCGCATTGAAATGGTGCCAGGGACTGAACAGGGTAGACGTAAGTTCAGTCTCTTCACGCTGACCTTCTAATAAATTGAAAACCGTGTGACCAACTTGGCATTCAAGCAATAGAAATCCGAACACTATATACAAATGCACGCAAAAGCGTGCTGGTAGTTTGCCGACAGCTCCGAGAAGACGCGAATGTCGCAGCAAATGCACAGCAAGTTCACCGTTAACATACATGTAGAATTCGCACCGTCAGCTCACTTTTAATGTCATCGAAAGGCGGTTGTTCACTATCGACATGTACATAGCACTCGCTCAACGACATCGTGTTTGACTTGCTTGGTCCCGCAAAGGTTGTCAATGAATTGCTCTAGGTTCTGATAAGATTCACACCATGAAAACATTTTTATGATCTTTTTAAACTTTCGGAGCAAGTCACAGGTGATGCTGCACGTAGAGGGCAACCAGATAAGGGCGTGTTCAGAGTGCGTGAATGTGCTGAGATAGCGCAGGCAGAAGGCGGGAACGGGGTACCGAGCGACCGGCTTTTGCTAGAAAGGCGGTGAAACGCGCGCGGCGCAGAGCTCCCTGGCCGAGGTTGGGAGGCTCATAAGCCTGCATTTGTATATGCATTAGAGTGGCGCTGCCTTCGTGTGACGCAATGATTCCATGCTTGTCAGCACGTTTTGAGCAACTTTTCAGGGGCGCTCATGGAACCGTGCATACAGTTCTCAGGTCACCAAGATTTTGGAGTGACGAAGTTTTTCTACCCATGCTTAGTCTCAGAAATTACACACGCTGGTACTCAGCTCAACTGTGCATAGGTAGAGGGACATTTTTGGTGACTTGGCTCGGCTCGTGTATTGAAAAAGTAATGGTGGCGTTGATAAGCCACCCATTGCACAGGGTGGCTTGTCCAGGCACACACAGGTACAGGCATCCTTGGGGGCAGGTGCAGACAATGCCGTCCGTGTTCAGAAGGCGAATGAACTAGCACCTCCTCCAGCAGTCACATGTTCATGATGGTGAAGAAGGCAACGGTCAGGCTGTTTAGAATGAAATTTTATTGGGTAAACCTGTGATATGAGATTACCTTGTTTGATAGCATTTACTAATCGGCGTGGTTGGTGCCCATGTCTATCAGTTCGTTTCTTCACTTCATCCTGTACTCTTGGCGCCGTGTTTGCTCTTTATTTGTTTATTTGATACTGCCGACCCCGTGCTTGGAGTCATTACCGGGAGGGTGGCACATAATACATAGTATTCACACAATAAAGCAGTATTCAATAGTACATAGAAATAACAGATGAATAATCATCATCAGGAAAAAATAAACAAACAGCAGTGACTATGCCGATTGAAAATTGCGAAACGAATGCTGGCAACAAAAGGTAACGATTATCACTGCAGAGAAAACTGTCTAACGCATCTTTAAAGTTGACTGGCGTCGTTTGTTGCACAACCAAATCAGGTAAACTATTCCACATTTCTATTGCGTCTGGAAAAAAGGAGTGGCGGAAAGCATTTGTGCGTGCGAAATAGTGTTGAATAGCTCTGCTATTATTAAGACATCACATCGCCTTCAAGGTGGCTGTAGATATAAATTCTTGTTTATTTTTATTTGCCCGCTTATAATCTTAAAAAGAAGTTGGAGGCTTTGGTTGCATCTAGGATATCCTAAAGACTCAAGCTCACAGGACTTTAACAAGGCCGTGTTGGAGTGTGTGCATCGGTATTTACCACATGCGAAACGGACTGCTAATTTTTGTATTCTCTCAATTTCAGTCTTCAAAACCTTCTGGGGAGGTGACCAGACAATACTAGCGCACTCTAAGACTGGTCTTATGAATGTTTTGTAAGCACTTAGTTTCACATTCGGTGTGCAATGTTCCAGCTTTTTCTTGAGGAAATAAAGTTTTTTACTCGCCTTAGAACAGATGTTATCTATATGAGTGTGCCACTGTAATGTGCACATGATACTAACTCCTAGGTATTTGAAACAAGCGGCATTATTTAAAGTTGATTTCCGATGCGGTACATGAAAGACAGTTCCTGCCCACCTGAGTGAATATGCGAGAATGTTGTCTTGCCATAGTTTATTTCTTTGTCCCACCATATGGTGGTTTTGGGACGTTAAACCCCACAAATCAATCAATCATTTCTTTGTGCCACCTTTTGCACCACTCATCTAATTTCTGCAAGTGTCTGTTCAGATTAATTTGCTTGCTTTCACAAGTCACTTGGGAATAAATTAAGCAGCCATCTGCAAACTGTTTCATTTTAATAGGTGCCTTAACTATTGAACATGTATAATTAACAAAAGTCAGAAAGAGAATTGGTTTTAAAACAGCCCTTTGGCAAACGCCTGAGTACACGCGTAGCTGTATTGAAGTATAGTTTTCAATAGTCACAGCCTGTTGACGCATTGATAAATAAGCTCCTATACATTTTAAAACTTCTTTGCTTATACCTAATATTTCAAGCTTAAAAACTAACTTAGGGTAGGAAACCTTATCGAAGGCTTTCCTGAAATCCACACAAATTACATCAGTCTGCATGTGAGCATCGACGTTTTTATAGAAATCGTGGAG